TACTACAGGTGTGCACCACCATGCCTAATTTTTGTATTTTTTGTAGAAACGAGGTTTTATCATGCTGGTCATGAACTCATGAGCTCATGTGATCCGCCCAACTCAGCCTCCCAATGTGCTGGGATTATAGGCATGAGCCACCATGTGTGGCCTAAACATCACTTTACAATAGACTTTGCTTTTCTAAACTTCTATAGGGTCCAGGACTGCACTTCTAGTTTCTAAAGGGAAAATTTCACTTTTCTTCTCAGTCAAGTCACTAGAGTGAAGAAAACCTTTTTCTCTTAATGACTAGGAAAATATCAGACCTAGGGAGATGCCTTGGGGTGTAGTGACATAAATATGAACTTGACAACTTTATTATTTATTTTTACTTTTAATTTTATAGAGATGGGGTTTCGCCATGTTGGCCAGGCTGGTCTCGAACTCCTGACCTCAGGTGATATGCCCACCTTGGCCTTCCAAAGTGTTGGGATTATATGCGTGAGACACCACGCCTGGCCTATAGTTACATCTTGTCTAGCCAAGATGGCAAAAGTGTTCAGCTGATTGAGTATTTGCTTTCAAAGATTCTTTGGCAAGTTCTGCATTTATTTGATTAGATGGTCATCGTTCATATCCTCATAAGAACTTGTCAGTTTTAAGTGCATCAGCATCAATATATAATCTTAAAATGTGACTCCACTTAGGAGACAACATATTCATCAGGCTCCTCTCTGAAGGCTGTTTAGCTGGCTCTAAAACTCAATCGATCCTTAAAGTAAAGGGGAAAAAACCCACCCTATATTAAGTACCTCCTAGGTGCTAGCCACTACGGAAGATGCTTTCTCTTGCAATGATCCTCCATGATGGGAATTATCCTTTCCCTCTTTCACAGGGGGAATTAATGATTCATATCATATATCTACCATTTTTTCCAAAGATGCAAACTAGTAAAGAGGCAGGGACACCAGGTTGGACTGATGTCCTCCATGCCTCCCTGCCATTGTTGTACAGAACCAAAACAACATGAGAAGTGGTAGGTAATTCCAACAGTGGAAGTTCCAGAAACATTCTGAGTAGTGGCAACCTCACTGGACTAAGCATACAGCCTCCTATGAACTTGGAAGTAATTGAGACCAAACTGTTTTACTAACAAAGCTATCAGAAGCCAATGATCCCACACATTGCTTTGTCATCGTGTCACACACGAAGGCTTTCCTTCCTTCATGCTACACCTTGAAGTTAGTGGAGTTCTTGGAGGCCACACACATAGTAAGACTACAACCTAGGATAGTTATGCAGCTTGCTCAAAGTCACTGGAGGAGAGCTAAGCCATTCTCCTGCCTTAATCCTACAGACCTTGAAGACCCAGATGCTGGGAGAAGGTACTATGGTCATATCCCAGGAAGTCAACGGCAGGGGCAGAACTGGAACCCAGGTGGCTGTAATACTGCTTTGCTGCTCTTTCTGCCCCAACTAGTCCAAAACAAAGGGAGGGTCAGCAGTTAACATACAGCTTTTATGCAAACTTAACAGACAGCATCAGAGAGTAAGATCAGACTCCATCACAGAAAGAATAAAAGTGACACTTACATCCAGGGCATCCTGTGTTTCTTGCTTAGTAGGATTCATTCGATGTAACCGTTCATAAATAACAGTATCAGCACCTTTACAGTAAAGCTTGATATTGCCTTCTGGAGTTCTTACTGGTAGTAAAAGAAGGAAATCAACATAACAAAGTTCAAAGTTAAGTTTGATTTTTTTTTTTTTTAGACAGGGTCTTATTCTGTCACCCAGGCTGGAGTGCAGTGGTGCAATATTGGCTCACTGCAGCCTTGACCTCCCCATCTCAAGCAATCCTTCCATCTCAGCCTCCTGAGTAGCTGGGACTACAGATGCATGCCACTATGACTGGCTAAGTTTTTATTTTTATAGATGTGGAGGTCTCACTATGTTACTCTGGTCTTGAAGTCCTGGGCTCAAGCAATCCTCCTGCCTCAGCTTCCCAAAGTGCTGTGATTACAGATGTGAGCCACCGCACCTAGCTAAGTTTGATTTCTTAATAGAAAACTACATTTATAAAGTTAATTTGAAGTGTTACCAGCCTCATAATTCACTACTAGCTTAAAATCATCAGTTCATCTAGAAAGGTGTTGCCTTCAACAAAACTGGTAAGTCCCTATCTACATTGAATATAATAGTGAAATAAACATAAAAAGATTCCTTCACAGTCAGCTCTGTTTTCCATAACCTTACTTATTCTTCCAACAAGTATTTCCTGACTCCCTACCATGTGCTATGCCATGTGCTAGTTACTTTCTTTCATGGAATTTTCCTCCATCCAACCAACAAGAAGTTTCTCACATATGAACTCACAACACTTATTGCCTTTAATACTTGGACCATAACACCACTTCTTGTGATTAGTTTCTTTTGTTTCTTGATTAGTGCACAATTGCAATACACGTCTCATTGCTAACTAGATTATAAGGCAAGGTAGATGAGAGGCATGAAAATCAGTCCAGATCTGTGTGAGGGGCACAGAGAAGATTCAGTAAATGTGCCTAAGGAGGGTGTAATAGACAGTTAAACCTGTATGTTTGTATTGGTTAAAAATTCAATATCAAGCCAGGTGCGGTGGCTCATGCCTGTAATCTCAGCACTTTGGGAGGCCAAGATGGGTGAATCACGAGGTCAAGAGATCGAGACCATCCTGGCCAACAAGGTGAAACCCCTTTTCTACTAAAAATGCAAAAATTAGCTGGGTGTGGTGGTACATGCCTGTGTACAGTCCCAGCTACTTAGGAGGCTGAGGCAGGAGAATCACTTGAACCTGGGAGGTGGAGGTTGTACTGAGCCGAGATCATGCGACTGCACTCCAGCCTGGCAACAGAGGGAATATCCTCAAAAAAAAAAAAAAAATTCAATATCATAGTGGAGGAGGCTTGTAGACACCACCTTAACCAAGTAATCAAAGTTCCCATCGCCAATAATATATGCCTTCTGATGTGATACTTACAGAAGGGCACAGCATCACTTATGGACTTTTCCTGCCAACAATGTGTAACCTAGCTCTAATCATGAGGGAACATTGGAGAAACCCAAATGGAGGCATAGCCTATAAAATAACTGGCCTGTGCTTTTAAAAAATGTCAGTGGATGAAGGATCGAAAACAGATCGAACCATCCTTGACTCAGAGTCATTATCACTTAATGTAACCTGTGATCTTGGATTAGATCCTGTACCAGAAAAACAAAAAGAAAGAACTTCCCTGGCAAAATCTGAAAAAGTCTATCAATTAGATAATATTGTATGGTGTTAAATTTTCTGGTTCTGATTATTGTACTGTATATACAAGTGAGTGTTCTTCTTCTTAGGAAATACCTACTATGGTATATAGTACAGTATTTAGGGGAAAGGGACATTAGGGCTGCAATTTATTCTCTTACATATATACGTATACATATAAAATATATATATACGTATACATACATACATATATACATGAATGCTTATGTGTATATGTATGTGTGTGTGTGTGTGTGTGTGTGTATATATACGCATATATATATTTATTTATTTAAATCATGCAATCTTGCTCCTTCTAATGAAATTTACTCTCAAATGGTTCAGAAAACAATATCTGTATGTATGTGTGTGTGTACATATATGTGTGTATGTATATGGATATATATATACAAGAAATTAAAAATATGGCAAATGTTAACAATTGGTAGCTATGAAGGAATATGAGAGTTCTTTAAACCATCCTTGCAACTTTTCTATAAGTTTGAGATTATTTCAAATTATGAATTTAAAGCAGTTCAGTGTTAGGAAGTGATTTTTATCTTTACTTGGTGATCTGTTATGTGCCTGCATTGCAGGTATGATTTTGATTAATAAACACAGCCTTGCTTTCCTCAGGAAACTTTTCCTGCTGAGTCTTCCCTTCCCTGTCATCAAGTACAGAAAAGAAAGCTCAGAGGTGCTTGAAAAAAAAGAGAACATGTGTTGCTTAAAATAAGAGACTGCCACAAACATCCACCTGCCGCTTCTGGAGTGTTCCACCTGCCACCCCAGATTCAACATCTGGCAGCTCACATGGTTAAAGAAAGTCAGCAGCATTTGCAAGATTTAGAGATACTGCGGCTGTCCCTTCGAATAGGGAACACGGTGAAGAATGAAGAAAACCATACCAGTTTCAATTAAGTCTGCGGAAATCTCCCAGGAGCCAAGTAGCTTATTCATTGTCCGCTTTATCTTGCTGCCATTCAATACAATGGGCACAAGCATCTAAATGAGTGATTCATAGACAGACTCTGAGGGGAACCTACCAATGATAGACATTCGCTTCCGGTCACTGTTGAAGTCCAAAATGGCAAGAACATTATAGGTCCTTTCAGTGCCCAGCTCACTGATGGTGATGGTGTTCTGGGTCCTGGCGAGGAAGGCAAAGCCGAAGTTCCTGGCGGCGTTTACCAGGGCACCTTCATCAGGAGAGGCTGCCTGGTAATTGAGATGACCTAACAAGGAAGTGAGAGAAATCCCAGAAAAGCTGTAAAACCAAATATAGAGCTCACTGCTGAGGCCTCCACTGAGGCTCCTGTGGGGGTCAGCTGGGCTGCAAAGCCCAAAACATCCCCAGGAAAATGAGTCATTGACTAAAGGGTTATGCCAAGATTAAAGCATCTTTGTTTTATCTTGACTTATAAACAGTAATGTAAACTAAAAGTGAAACAGTGGCTGAGAATGGAGGGAAATTCCCATAACCCCACTATCCACAGGAAAAACAACAGGTGTTGACATTTTATCATTCCTTCCAGTCCCTTTTAAAATGTCTATATCTGAAATTGTTTCTGTGAAGCTGAATATACATTCACATCCTGATTATTTTAATGCTGTATCTGAGCATATTGCCATCTCTTTGTAAATTCTTTGTAAACATTTGAACAAATGTAAACACGTTATCATTTTCCCATTACAGACGCCTAGTTTATTTCCGAAACATTTTTACTCTCAAAAATAACTTTTAATAACCTTTTTGTATGTGTGTAAAGATTTTTCTGTTTTTTTTTTTTTTTTTTTTTTTTTTTTTTTTTTTTTTTTTTTTTTTTTTTTTTTTTTTTTTTTT